AAGCCAACGGCATCGCTAAAAGAAACGCTGACCGCCACCGCCGCCCAGTCACGTACCAGTTAGGAGATTACGTACTGCTAGACATAGAACTTAATATTGCCCGTCGTACCTGTGAGGATCTAGTTCAGGAAAGATAAATCTATTGAATGCATCACCTGGGTACAAGGCAAGGCTATATATAGGCTCGACACAAAGGCAGTAACCTGGGTGTTACTAGAAGGTTCCGCGGGTCGCGAAGCGTCCCAAACGGGTCCTTCCCGAATTCGGTAGAAGGCGATTCGGTGGCAACCGAAAAGCCTAGAATTCGGTGCATTCAACCTAGTTCGGTGCCTATAACTATAATAAATATAGTAAAAGCAACAAAACTAGGAAATCTAGCAAAAGCAAGCAAAATAAAGCAAAGCTAAGCTAGATAATGCATAGTAAAGCAGAATCAAGCTAGTAAAGCGTAGCAATGCCGTCCTACTCTCACACGTCCCCCCCTCAAAGCTGGGTGGCGTGAGATACACCCTACTTGACAAGATAGTCCTTGAGAGCACGACGTGCGTTGCCCATATCAGCTTCTGCAACCCAACTGTCCTCCGACGGGTCATATCCCTTCCAGCGTATCAGGAACTCGAGCGTGTTGCCGCGTCTGCGTCGATGAGCGAGCACTCGTTCCACCTCGTACTCTGGTTCATCCTGTACGAGAACAGGTGGTGGTGGTGGCAGCTGTCGTCCCGTAAACCGCTGGTTGGTGTCCTTGTAGGGTTTCAGCAGCTGAACATGGAAAGCGTTATGAAGCTTCCAAGTAATAGGTAAGCGCAAGCGGAATGTAACTGGTGTCACCATCGCCTCAACGCGAAAGGGACCACAGAAGCGAGGCCGGAGCTTGGACGGAATGTGAGACAAGTCCAAGTTGCGTGTGTCGAGAAGCACCTGATCTCTGACTGCTACTGAGTGATCACGTCGCTGTCGATCGGCATACTGCTTCTGGGAGTTTCGCTTCGTGGTGAGACGTTGCTGAGTCTTCTCCCATAGCTGCTGCACGGTGGTGACGAAGTCGTGTGCGGCTTGGACGTGTGCCGGTGTAGTTGGCTGCTGTGGTGTAAGTGGTTCCCGTCCATAGCACAGGAAGAATGGAGATTCGCCTGTGGCCGCATACGACGCGTTTGTTGTAAGCGAACTCAAGCGTCGGTAACTGTAGATCCCAGTGGCTGATGTCGTCTTTGCAAGCTGTGCGCAGTAACTGTTCAACCACCTGATTGAGTCGCTCTGTCTGTCCGTCAGTCTGGGGGTGGTACGCTGAAGACATCGCAAGCTTTGTCCCCAACAAGCCCATGAGTTCCCTCCAGAACTTACTAGTAAATTTTGGGTCTCTGTCCGAGATAAGTGTAGCGGGGATGCCGTGGATGGTGATGATGCAGTCGAAGAAGAGGCGAGCAGTTGCTTCAGCAGTAGCCGTGGCGTTGGTCGGGATGAAGTGTCCCATTTTAGAGAACTTGTCGATCACCACGAGTATAGCGTCATGCCCTCGTGAGGTCGAAGAAAGCCCAGTAATGAAGTCTAGGCTGACAACTTGCCATGGCTGCTCCGGGACGGGTAGAGGCTGAAGTAACCCTACTTTTTTCTGCTTGCTACTCTTCATCCGCTGGCGAGAACGCCGAATTCTACCGACGCCCCGTCACGTACCAGTCGGGAGACTACGTATTGCTCGACACACAAAAGCTACTCGCCCATTGTACCAAAACTCCGCCCGTGCTTTTGTGGCCCATTCCAAATCAGCCATATGATAACACCCGTCACCGCCCATCTCCTACTACCAACAGACTGGTACATCAGCCCGTCGTTCCACATCAGCTTACTTCGCCCGTACATCGCCATCACGAGCCAACTGTCACGCCATTGCCCAGCCGTCGATGACGCGTCGTACATCGGAGCCGATCATCGACCCCGAAAAAAATCTGAGCCATCGGATTCACCACCCCACGTAGATTCGGAGGATTGAGTTCCTCGTTCGCTGGAAGGACCGCACCCCCACAGAGGATAGCTGGTTGCCCCTGGCCAACATTGAAAACCACCCTGCCCTACAAGTATATCTGCGAAGCCGCAGATTTCGTGATATACACGCTCTCGCGTAGCAGAGGGGCTTCTTGATGGGGGTTGGGGGGAGGGGGGGGGGGTGTAAGGAATTTTTCAGCATTCCTTACTGCGTGCTTGAACACCGCGTATTGGACCAACCGTTACTTTGTCCGTAACTGCTAACGGGGTTTCGCCAACCTAGCGCGCACTATTTACCAAACCGTGCATCGCTAGACCAGCCCGAGTCAGCCTACGCTTCGGAACTAGACCGATCATCGCTGCCAGCATCGCACTAGCTGGCTCGCACGCACCGCGTTACCATTTGCATACTTGCTTATAAGTATTCACTCATGCCTTCGCTCATATATTGCACTCATTTGACAACCTAGTTTTATCATCGCTATCTCGCTTCATTGCACCCGTAACACATACGAAGATTAGGCCTTTGTTTGTTTGTTTTTTTTTTTTTTTAATGAGCATACGCATTTCGTTTCAGTGATCAGATAAATTTGACTATTATGATTGTTGTTTCCTTTCAGTCACCACGTCACTTTGGGCAAAAGGGTGTCTATTGGAACATTCACATGGCAGAAACTACAATCACATCCACCCTGCACAAGACTGCCGACTTTAACAAATCACAGGTGTATGAATGACCTAACTACCATTGGCTTTTATTGTACTACCTAACAGGTGTACTATGTATGCTAGCCTTCATTTATAGTTGGTGGAAGTGTCGTAGTGCTTTGTGTGTTACATAGTTAAATGGTGTGTATGATCGGTGTAGAGAAGTAGTCCTAGTAACGCGTTCGGGACTGTAATCGCTAGTGGTTGTAACTTGGATGATTGGGGTCTCCTCAGTCAACCCGAATACTGTACACTCCAGGCCACTTCATTGCGAGGCTGGGCGTGGATTTTATTTCAATGGGCGAGACAAGAGCTTGTGTTCTTTTCTGCCACTAGTCCTACACACGATGTCCGTTTGACTAACCCAAGGTTGCCTTGTGAAGGGGGCGCTTAAGTGATTCATGCATTTCGTGGAGGTTTCGTCAATTCGCGTCGGGCAAAAAGGGCTTATAGCAAAATTTTGTAACTCACCGTTGACTGTTTGACTTCGGTCTCTTCTGTTTCTGTGGTTCGTATTGGTTGACGTGTTTCTAACGTGGGTGCAACTGCCCGGGAAAAAACCTTCGTGTGCAAGGTTTCTGGAATGTGCGAGGCAATTTCGCGTGCAGGGGTTGGGCATCTTGTGTATCTGCGGTTACGATATTAAATAATGTACTGTACTGGCGGTGGGGGGTGGTAGACCAGGATTTTTGTTGCGAGAACACACAAAATAGCGATGGGCCTGGATTTTTCAGTGGGTTTTCAGTTGACAACGCACGGTTTTCGAAACTGCACGCCAAATGCGCAGTTTCATCGCTTCTGGGGCAGGGTTACTGCCCGTTTTTCGTTTACAGCGCAGAGTTTGTGCGATTTCTACGCAGCTCGACGCTCATTCGTCTAAATATCCGAAAACGACAAGCCTGCAATGTAACAGAAAATTTATTTAACTCAGTCAGGTGTTTCAAAATTTTCACGCCCATATAGAGAGTGCATCAATCCTAAACATCCAGTCGCGGGTTGATGCTCCCTCGACGGCAGCCATTAAAAAAAAATATATATATATATATATAAATCGTGACAAAGGGAATCAGCCCTGAACACTTTCGGCCAATTTTGAGGGTTGATGCTCCCTAAACACTTCCGCCCGGTGTTTAGGGTTGATGCTCCCTAAACACCCCGCCCGGTGTTTAGGGTTGATGCTCCCTGAACAGCATGCCATCCGAGAGGGTAATATATTTTCGTCTGCCCAAAATTCAGGTGCAAACAGTTCGATGGCCGTCAATCCAACCGGAGTTGTCGGTCCGTCAAAAATTTGACCAATGAAATCTTTACTGCGTAGAAATCTCACTAACTATGCGCTGTGATCGAAAACTGGGCACTAACAGTGCGCCAGAAGCGACAATGCTGCGCTTTTTTCGTATATTTTCAGTAACAGTGCGGGATTAACTAAAAACCCTTTTTCAGTGCCACCGTCCGAGTGGAAGCAGGTCCCCAGCAAGGTTCCAACGTTCAGCACGGCACTTCAGATGGACGTACGGCCACATTACACAGGCGGGTAAGTAGCCAAACAGCCACACAATTAATATCCACTGCCATGATATAGCACAACCATGCCATCCCCCGTCCTTAACTCTCCAAGAAAGGACAGCCAGTGCAGGTTACAGTAGCGCTTAGCTCTTGGTGTACAATCAAATGCTGCCAATCGTTATGGCGGTGCATTGCTGTAGTCAACTGGGCAAAGTGAGGACGCCTCGATCGGGGGGAGATCGATCCAGTCACCGCACTGAAACCCTGCATTTTGCATACGAAAGGTACACAACCGTTTACAACCGCGCTTAAAAACGAACCTGAGGCGATCAAATCTCCACTTTCACTGCGTCTTGAGTCATTTCATGAACCACCCCGGAGAATGACCAGAAACTCGAAGTCATCTCGCACCACCAGTCCCACGCGCAGTCACACGGACTTGAGCTTCTAAAACTAAAACGTGGTGGGGGGGTTTCTAATCAGAGTTATGGCGTTCCTGCACAACAAAGCCGAGGTTGAAAGCTCGAGCCTTTTCCCTGAAAGCATGTGTTTGAGCAGCAGATTTACCACGCGACATGAGAATTGACGCGCTTCGGGGTAGCTCTGCTGCTCAAACACGTGGATTGAAGTAGCAACTACGCCTGCCTGAGACCGGCTGGTTGATTTCGTGACTCCCGCTTTGAGCCAGTCATCTCTAAGAAAAACTCGCACAATTTTCGTTCATTTCATTCGCATCCAAACTATCAGACGAGTTTAGTACAACGGAAGGCCGTCGCCGCGCTTTTTAAGAATTCGGACCGTCTGAAATGAGCTGTTTCTGCTTCCGCGGCGGCAACACACGGGACCCTTCCCCACCGCCACCGCAAAACAATCCGACAGTCGCGAGAACGCTGAGCGACGCCAAGAATCCCACCGCGGTTAGTAGAGCAGCGAGCGACGCGAAGAGCCCGAGAGCGCTGAAGCGACATATTTCCAACACCGCAGCAGACCCTACTGGGATCACCACCAACACCGCCACATTGCCAGATCCGTCCTTCTTACCGAACCCAACCGCAGCGGGATCCGCGTTACCGAATCCAACTGCTCTACTTTCGAACCCTAATGCTGTTCCCACCGCGCTTCCGTGTCCCGACAGTGGGCCGTTGCTACCCGCGGATTCCGTTATCGTGACTAAATCGAATGGTGACGGTGATATCGTTTCCCCCGCTACTACAAAACAGCCGCAGCAGGCGGCGTCCGCCTCGGTGCTAAGTCTGAACCCCGCGGGACCGCCGATTCTAATATCCTCTGCTGCTACTAATGCTACCATTGCTGCTATTGGTTCTAGTGCTGCTAATACTGATAGTAATTCTCCCCAAATCGCGTCTCCAACTGTCGTAACTCCTAGTCCGCGAGGAGCCGGCGGCTCCTCGGTTGCTGCTACTAACGCGTTCGCCGCACATCGTCTCCCAAGCCCTGCTGCTCCGCTGCCCGCCCCTAAGGCCGCCACGTCATCAGCTACCGCCGCGTCAGCAGGTCCTGTCCAGGTAGGCGCTGACGCCCCGAGCCCGCGCGGAGTGGCGGCGGGCGGAAGCTTCCAGAGTCCGCGCGGGCGGAAGAAGCCGTCCGCCGCGCAGCCGTTGCGCACCCCCAGCGCATTGGCGCGCCTCCCCCTCCCTGCATCTTCCGCCGCCGCGTCCTTCGCCGCATCCGCCCCTTCCGCCGCTTCCGCCTCTTCCGCCTCCTCCGCGTCCTCTATCCCCGTCGGCGCATCCTCCATCTCACCCTCCACCCGTTCCGCCTCCCCCTCCGCGGCTTCCGCCTCCCCCGCCGCGCATTCCCCCGGCGCAAGCCAACCCGCGGAGAACTCCAGAAATGCTTCTCCGAAAACCGCCGGCGCTGCTCCGCCCGCGCAGGTGGCGCAGGTCGGTTCCGCCGCTGCCTCTCCCGCCGCTACGCCCTCCGCTGTCGGCGCTGGCGGCGTCCCCAGCGCCTCCGGCGCTCCGCCGGCTGCGGGAATTGCGACAGCGGCGGTGCCTCTTCCGCTGCCAGCGAGCGGCGAAATCGCCGCGCGCGCAGCTGCCGCGTCCAGCGCGCAACCCGCGAGCCCGGCGGGTGGCGCGGGCGCAGGGGGGGCGGGGGGCGTGGGGGGCGCGGGGGGCGCGCGAGCTGTGATTCCGCCTTCCCCCAGTGCCGCCCCCTTGGGGGCGAGCGAGCGGGTAGTAGGGGGAGGAGGGGAAAGAAATGTGGGGTCGTTAGGGATGCATGGAGAGGAAGGGGGTGAGGAGAAACAACAGCAGCAGCAGCAACAACCGTCGCAGCAGTCACAGAGAGACAATCAAGGGCAGAAAGGACAACCTGGTGATGGAGACGGATCGCTCCATAGCGGGGACAGCAGCGCCTGCACCAGCACTGTAACCGAAGCAACGCCGCCATCCCCAGCTGCTGGTGCTGCCGCTGCTGCCTCTGCTGCTGCAGCTGCTGCTGCTGCTGCTGCTGCTGCTGTAGACGCAGCAGTTTCAGCTGCTGCTAGTGCCAGCATCACCGGCAGCAGCAGTGGCGGCAGCAGCGGCAAGGGGAAAGCGCCGACGCCCCTGATTCCCTTCACGTACACGCAGGTGCAGCAGATGGCAGGGGGGTTTGCGGAAGAGGGTAGAATCGGCGAGGGCGGGTTCGGCGTGGTGTACAAGGGGAATTTACCCACGAAAAGCGGGCGCAAGATTCCCGTGGCGGTGAAAGTGCTGAATGCGGAGGGGCAGCAGGTAGGCGTTTGATTAAAGCACAGCATGTAGGGCTTTGATATAATCACAGCAGGTAAGTGTTTTAGATGATTGAAGAGATATGTTGGCCGACAGGCAGGCTGGTATGAAGCACTTCTAAATGGTTTCTGTATGATGATTTGGACTTCTTTTATCAAGCACTTCTGAGATGGACTTTTTCAGCCTGAGTGCTGCGTACGGAAGGGCAGCAGGTAGGGCTTTGAGGCAGTCACAGTTGCTGGTGCATTTTTCCCTCCGAATTCGCATTTCTCTTCCCCACACCCTTGGCCCCAATCCCTCTCCTCCCATCACTTCCCCGCCTCTTGCCTTTAATTCCCCCCCGGACCCCACCTCATCTTTCCCCCATCTCTCGTTTTGAGTCGACTCGAAACACCTCATCTTTCCCCCATCTCTCGTTTTGAGTCGACTCGAAACACCTCATCTTTCCTCCATCTCTCGTTTTGAGTCGACTCGAAACACCTCATCTTTCCCCCATCTCTCGTTTTGAGTCGACTCGAAACACCTCATCTTTCCCCCATCTCTCGTTTTGAGTCGACTCGAAACACCTCATCTTTCCCCCATCTCTCGTTTTGAGTCGACTCGAAACACCTTATCTTTCCCCCATCTCTCGTTTTGAATCGACTCGAAACACCTCATCTTTCCCCCATCTCTCGTTTTGAATCGACTCGAAACACCTCATCTTTCCCCCATCTCTCGTTTTGAATCGACTCGAAACACCTCATCTTTCCGCCATCTCTCGTTTTGAGTCGACTCGAAACACCTCATCTTTCCCCCATCTCTCGTTTTGAGTCGACGCGAAACACCTCATCTTTCCCCCATCTCTCGTTTTGAGTCGACTCGAAACACCTCATCTTTCCCCCATCTCTCGCGCCTTTCATCTCTCCCTTGGTCGCCCTCCACAGCCCTCCCTTCCCCCTTCCTTTCTCCCATCAGGGCGAGCGCGAGTGGTTGACAGAGGTCAGCTTGGTGGTTGACAGAGGTCAGCTTGGTGGTTGACAGAGGTCAGCTTGGTGGTTGACAGAGGTCAGCTTGGTGGCCCATTTTTCTCACGCCAACCTCAACTCCCTCGTGGGTTACTGCGCTCACCACCACCGCCACATGCTCCTCTACCCCTCTTCCCTTTCACGCTGTCTCACCCCCGCCTGTCCTCCTTTCCCTCCCCGTGTCTCCCTCGCCTGCTTCCCTTCTCCCTCGTCCCTTCTCCATCTGCCCATCTCCCTCTCCCCATCCCTCACTACAGGGCGAGCGCGAGTGGTTGACTCAAGTGAGCGTGTTGGCCCATCTCTCCCACCCCAACTCATTTCTCTCGTGGGTTACGGCGCGCACCACCACCACTACATGCTATTCTACCCCTCTCACCCTCCCGTTCCCCTTCCCCCTGTTTCCTTTCTCCTCCCCGTCCCGCTTCCCCTCCCCATGTCCCCATCTCCTTCTTCCCCTCTCCCTCTCTCCCTCCACCTCTCTCCCGTCTCTCTCCCGTCTCTCTCCCGTCTCTCTCCCGTCTCTCTCCTGTCTCTCTCCCGTCTCTCTTCCGTCTCTCTCCCGTCTCTCTCCCGTCTCTCTTCCGTCTCTCTTCCGTCTCTCTTCCGTCTCTCTGCCCCTCACTACAGGGCGAGAGAGAATGGTTAACTGAAGTGAGCGTGTTGGCCCATCTCTCCCATTCCAACCTTATCTCCCTCGTTGGTTACTGCGCGCACCACCACCACCGCATGCTCGTCTACCCCTACCTGCCCAACGGCTCCCTCGAGCGAAAACTTTTCGGGCTGCCCGCAAAGGAAACGCCGCTGACGTGGCAGCAGCGGATTGGCATTGCGGTCGGGGCGGCCAAGGGCCTAGCGTATCTGCACGAGGAGATGGAGAAACCGGTGAGTTTGGCGTCGACTCATATGTAATATCAATTCACTCTAGATATTGTTTCTTGAGACAGCGCAATATGCTCCAAGGGCCTGGCGTATTTGCACGAGGAGATGGAGAAACCGGTGAGTGATGAGATGACTCAGATGTGGTTTAACTTGTCCTAAACTTTGAAGGGCCGTGATCTCTAAATGTCCAACATCCCGTTAACCAAGGACTGGCAGGCCACGCTCTCACTCACTCACTGCTACTGCCATCGCGCCCCCACTCCACCCCATGAGATCATCTATCGTGATCGTGATTTCAAAACGTCCAACATCTTCTTAACCAAGGACTGGCACGCCAAGCTCTCGGACTCTGGACTCCCACTCATTCACTGCTACCATCACCTTTCCCTATCTCTTCCCTTTGCCTCGTCCTCCACCCCACCCCACCCCACCCCACTCCATGTCATCAGATTATTTACCGTGATTTTAAAACCTCCAACATTCTGTTGACCTTTGAGAATTCTCAAAAATCACTCTGTTGACCAAGGAACGGTAAGCGAAGCTCTCAGACTTTGGGCTTCCACCTGATTCCGCCACCTTTGCCTCATCCCCCATCTCAACCCACCCCGCCCCACTCCACCCCTCTCCACCCATCAGATCATCTACCGGGATTTCAAAACGTCCAACATCCTTTTAACCAAGGACTGGCAGGCGAAGCTCTCTGACTTCGGGCTCGCAAGAAGCGGGCCCGAGGGGGACAACACACACGTGTCCACTCGGGTAAGCACCTCAGCACATGCACGTTCACGGGTAAGCACATGCACGTTGACGGGTAAGCACATGCACGTTCACGGGTAAGCACATGCACGTTCACGGGTAAGCACATGCATGTTGACCACATGCACGTTGACGGGTAAGCACATGCACGTTCACGGGTAAGCCATGCACGTTCACGGGTAAGCATATGCATGTTGACGGGTAAGCACATGCATGTTGACGGGTAAGCACATGCACGTTGACGGGTAAGCACATGCACGTTCACGGGTAAGCACATGCACTTTCACGGGTAAGCACCGTGGGCTGGCATCTTGCTGACCAAGGGACTGGCACGCCAAGCTCTCGGATTTTGGGCTCGCGAGAAGCGGGCCGGAGGGGGACAACACCCACTTGTCCACACGGGTGAGAGATCTTGACGTTTGAGTGGTTTGTGGGCCGAGTTGACTTGCTTTTAACTCACAAGTCAGAAGGAGGGGGTCCGTAAGGGGACAACTCCCGCGTATCTACTTGGGTGAATGGCACCGACATGTTGCACTTGGGTGAATGGCACCGACATGTTGCACTTGGGTGAATGGCACCGACATGTTGCACTGGATTTACAAGGGTGTGCGGTCACAAAAAAAAAAATAGTAGAGCCAGAAGTCTCTTCGAGGAGCGAGCGGAGACGAAAGGGGACAACAACACGTGCTGGAACGCCGTGGTAAGAAAGACAACAACCTTGGGTGGCGAAGGGGTTGGGCAAGAGAGGACCAGAGAAGGTGGTCATGGCGTTGGGAGGAGCATGCGTTTGTGCTCCACGGATCTCCACCGAGACGAGCGCCTTGTGCAGCTCGTGGTCGCGAGATAACTACCCTTTTATCGCCGTCTCCACGGGCCCTTGTGGATCCCGTGGCCCTCTTCTCCGAGCAAGTGGGGAAGTTGCGGAGCAAGTCAGCAAGTGGAGCTCGGAGGAGCGTGCGGGGGGAGGGGGGGGGGGGGGGGGGCGTCAGTATCAGGGTGAACTCACAAAGCATGCAGTTGTGTCAGCGGCAGCATGGAGCAACATGCGTGCCCAGTCTGATTCACTAGAGAATGTGTCTCGAGTTTGTCTTGTTGTCTTGCTGTGAGATTTGCCGCCTCTCAAAGCCCATGCTTTTGCCCCTCTGGCGTCTTCCTCCCCCCGCACCCCTCCCCACCCCTCTCTGTCCTTCTCAACCACTGCAGAGGTGGGTTATGCCGCCCTGGAATACGTGCTGATGGGGCATCTGACGTTGAAGAGTGACGTGTCTGCCTTTGCAACGTCTCATAACCCTCCCTCCTGCCCTATCCTCCTTGTTCCGCCTCCTGCTCCTTGCCCCCCCATGCCAGGTGGTGGGCGCGGTGGGCTATGCCGCCCCGGAATACGTGCTGACGGGGCATCTGACGGTGAAGAGTGACGTGTACACTCCCCCCCTCTCTCCCTCCCTCCACCCTATCTCCCGCCCCGCTCTCATCTCTCATTGCAGGTGGTGGGCACGGTGGGCTATGCCACCCCTGAGTACGTGCGAACAGGGCATCTGATTGTGAAGTGGTGGGTGTGCCTTTGAGAGGGGGTATGGTCGGTTCGAGACGACTCATTACCCCTACCCTACCTCACCCGTGCACTCTTCCTTGACCCTCTCCCCACCCCTCCCTGCTCTCTGGCCCCATGCCAGGTGGTGGGCACGGTGGGCTATGCGGCCCCCGAGTACGTGCTGACGGGGCATCTGACGGTGAAGAGTGACGTGTACAGCTTCGGAGTGGTGCTGCTAGAGCTCATGACAGGGCGGCTGGCCCTTGATAAATCGAGGTGAGTGAGTCAACGCAAGTCAACGCAAGCCGATATGAGTCAATATGAGCCGGCACCGGTTGGTGAAGAGTGACGTGCACAGCTTTGGAGTGGTGCTGCTAGAACTAATGACAGGCCGATTGGCTCTGGATAAGTCAAGGTGAGTCAACGGGAGTCAACGCAAGTCAACAGGAGTCAATGAGAGTAGGCACCGGTGCAAAGAGGCCATCTGACAGTGAAGAGTGATGTGTACAGCTTCGGAGTGGTGCTGCTAGAGCTGATGACTGGCCGGCTGGCTCTGGATAAGTCAAGGTGAGTCAACGGGAGTCAGTGCAGGTCCAGGTGAGTCAATGCGAGCCCGCATTGCTGCTGGAGCTGATGACTGGCCGGCTGGCTCTAGACAATTCAAGGTGAGTCAACGCAGGTCAATGGAAGTCTGTGAGACCATCTGGCCAGGAGGAAAGACGTGTACAGCTTTGGCATGGTGCTGCTGGAGCTCATGACAGGGCGGTTGGCTTTGGATAAGTCAAGGCGAGTCAACGCAGGTCAACGCAGGTCAATGCAGGTCAACAGTAGAGCATCTGACGGTTCAAACCGATGTGTACAGCTTTGGAGTGGTGCTGCTGGAGCTCATGACAGGGCGGCTGGCTCTAGACAAGTCAAGGTGAGTCCGTGCAGGTCAACACAGGTCAACACAGTAGAGACATCTAATGGATCGAAGTGACGTGTAAAGCTTCAGAATGGTGCTGTTAGAACTAATGACAGGCCCACTGGCTTTGGATAAGTCAAGGTGAGTCAGTGCGAGTCAACGCAGGTGAATGCGAGTCAATGTGGGTATGCATTGCTGCTGGAGCTGATGACTGGCGGTCTGGCTCTTGATAAGTCAAGGTGAGTCAATGCGGGTCAATGCGGGTCAATGCGGGTCAATGTGGGTCAATGTGGGTCAATGCAGGTCAATGCGGGTCAATGCAGGTCAATGCGGGTCAATGCGGGTCAATGTGGGTCAATGCGGGTCAATGCGGGTCAATGCGAGACAATGCAAGGTAATGCAGGTCAATGCGGGTCAATACAAGATAATGCGAGACAATGCAGGTCAATGCGGTTCAATGCGGATCAGTGTGGGTCAATGCGGGTCAATGCGAGACAATGCAGGTTAATGTGGGTCTTCTGGAACTGATGACAGGTCAACTGGCTCTTGATAAGTCAAAGTGTGTCAACACAAGTCAACCCGATTCCTTAACCCAGAGCAATCTCTAGCAGAGGGGTCTGCCCCCTTCGTCGCCTCCCCCTCCAATCTTTACCGAGTCATGGACCCTGCTCTGTCCATTCCATTTCCTCACCCTTCCCTTCCCTTCCCTTCCCTTCCCTTCCCTTCCCTTCCCTTCCCTTCCCTTCCCTTCCCTTCCCTTCCCTTCCCTTCCCTTCCCTTCCCTTGCATTCCCTTGCATTCCCTTCCCTTGCCTTCCTTTGCCTTCCTTTCCCCTCCCTTCCCTTCCCTTCCCTTCCCTTCCCTTCCCTTCCCTTCCCTTCCCTTCCCTTCCCTTCCCTTCCCTTCCCTTCCCTTCCCTTCCCTTCCCTTCCCTTCCCTTCCCTTCCCTTCCCTTCCCTTCCCTTCCCTTCCCTTCCCTTCCCTTCCCTTCCCTTCCCTTCCCTTCCCTTCCCTTCCCTTCCCTTCCCTTTCCTTCCTTCCCTCCCTTCCCTTCCCTTCCCCTCCTTCCCTTCCCTTCCCTTCCCTTCCCTTCCCTTCCCTTCCCTTCCCCCTCCCTTCCCTTCCCTTCCTTCCCTTCCCTTCCCTTCCCTTCCCTTCCCTTCCCTTCCCTTCCCTTCCCTTCCCTTCCCTTCCCTTCCCTTCCCTTCCCTTCCCTTCCCTTCCCTTCCCTTCCCTTCCCTTCCCTTCCCTTCCCTTCCCTTCCCTTCCCTTCCCTTCCCTTCCCTTCCCTTCCCTTCCCTTCCCTTCCCTTCCCTTCCCTTCCCTTCCCTTCCCTTCCCTTCCTTCCCCTCCCTTCCCTTCCCTTCCCTTCCCTTCCCTTCCCTTCCCTTCCCTTCCCTTCCCTTCCCTTCCCTTCCCTTCCCTTCCCTTCCCTTCCCTTCCCTTCCCTTCCCTTCCCTTCCCTTCCCTTCCCTTCCCTTCCCTTCCCTTCCCTTCCCTTCCCTTCCCTTCCCTTCCCTTCCCTTCCCTTCCCTTCCCTTCCCTTCCCCCTCCCTTCCCTTCCCTTCCCTTCCCTTCCCTTCCCTTCCCTTCCCTTCCCTTCCCTTCCCTTCCCTTCCCTTCCCTTCCCTTCCTTCCCCTCCCCCCCTTCCCTTCCCTTCCCTTCCCTTCCCTTCCCTTCCCTTCCCTTCCCTTCCCTTCCCTTCCCTTCCCTTCCCTTCCCTTCCCTTCCCTTCCCTTCCCTTCCCTTCCCTTCCCCTTTCCTTCCCTTCCCTCCCTTCCCTTCCCTTCCCTTCCCTTCCCTTCCCTTCCCTTCCCTTCCCTTCCCTTCCCTTCCCTTCCCTTCCCTTCCCTTCCCTTCCCTTCCCTTCCCTTCCCTTCCCTTCCCTTCCCTTCCCTTCCCTTCCCTTCCCTTCCCTTCCCTTCCCTTCCCTTCCCTTCCCTTCCCTTCCCTTCCCTTCCCTCCCTCCCCTCCCTCCCTTCCCTTCCCTTCCCTTCCCTTCCCTTCCCTTCCCTTCCCTTCCCTTCCCTTCCCTTCCCTTCCCTTCCCTTCCCTTCCCTTCCCTTCCCTTCCCTTCCCTTCCCTTCCCTTCCCTTCCCTTCCCTTCCCTTCCCTTCCCTTCCCTTCCCTTCCCTTCCCTTCCCTTCCCTTCCCTTCCCTTCCCTTCCCTTCCCTTCCCTTCCCTTCCCTTCCCCCTCCCTTCCCTTCCCTTCCCTTCCCTTCCCTTCCCTTCCCTTCCCTTCCCTTCCCTTCCCTTCCCTTCCCTTCCCTTCCCTTCCCTTCCCTTCCCTTCCCTTCCCTTCCCTTCCCTTCCCTTCCCTTCCCTTCCCTTCCCTTCCCTTCCCTTCCCTTCCCTTCCCTTCCCTTCCCTTCCCTTCCCTTCCCTTCCCTTCCCTTCCCCCTCCCTTCCCTTCCCTTCCCTTCCCTTCCCTTCCCTCCCCTCCCCTCCCTTCCCCTTCCCATCCCCTCCCTTTCCCTTCCCCTTCCCTTCCCTTCCCTTCCCTTCCCTTCCCTTCCCTTCCCTTCCCTTCCCTTCCCTTCCCTTCCCTTCCCTTCCCTTCCCTTCCCTTCCCTTCCCTTCCCTTCCCTTCCCTTCCCTTCCCTTCCCTTCCCGTCCCTCCCTTCCCTTTCCCTTCCCTTTCCCCTTCCCTCCCTTCCCTTCCCTTCCCTTCCCTTCCCTTCCCTTCCCTTCCCTTCCCTTCCCTTCCCTTCCCTTCCCCTCCTTCCTTCCCTTCCCTTCCCTTCCCTTCCCTTCCCTTCCCTTCCCTTCCCTTCCCTTCCCTTCCCTTCCCTTCCCTTCCCTTCCTTTCCCCTTCCCTTCCCCTCCCTTCCCTTCCCTTCCTTCCCTTCCCTTCCCTTCCCTTCCCTTCCCTTCCCTTCCCTTCCCTTCCCTTCCCTTCCCTTCCCTTCCCTTCCCTTCCCTTCCCTTCCCTTCCCTTCCCTTCCCCTCCTTCCCCTCCCTTCCCTTCCCTTCCCTTCCCTTCCCTTCCCTTCCCTTCCCTTCCCTTCCCTTCCCTTCCCTTCCCTTCCCTTCCCTTCCCTTCCCTTCCCCTCCCTCCCTTCCCCTTCCCCTCCCTTCCCTTCCCTTCCCTTCCTTCCCCTTCCCTTCCCTTCCCTTCCCTTCCCTTCCTTCCCTCCTTCCTTCCCTTCCCTTCCCTTCCCTTCCCTTCCCTTCCCTTCCCTTCCCTTCCCTTCCCTTCCCTTCCTTCCCCTCCCTTCCCTTCCCTTCCCTTCCCTTCCCTTCCCTTCCCCTCCCCTCCCTTCCCTTCCCTTCCCTTCCCTTCCCTTCCCTTCCCTTCCCTTCCCTTCCCTTCCCTTCCCTTCCCTTCCCTTCCCTTCCCTTCCCTTCCCTTCCCTTCCCTTCCCTTCCCTTCCCTTCCCTTCCCTTCCCTTCCCTTCCCTTCCCTTCCCTTCCCTTCCCTTCCCTTCCCTTCCCTTCCCTTCCCTTCCCTTCCCTTCCCTTCCTTTCCTTCCTTCCCCTCCCTTCCCTTCCCTTCCCCTCCCTTCCCTTCCTTCCCTTCCTTCCCTTCCCTTCCCTTCCCTTCCCTTCCCTTCCCTTCCCTTCCCTTCCCTTCCCTTCCCTTCCCTTCCCTTCCCTTCCCTTCCCTTCCCTTCCCTTCCCTTCCCTTCCCTTCCCTTCCCTTCCCTTCCCTTCCTTCCTTCCTTCCCTTCCCTTCCCCTCCCCTCCCCTTCCCTTCCCTTCCCTTCCCTTCCCTTCCCTTCCCTTCCCTTCCCTTCCCTTCCCTTCCCTTCCCTTCCCTTCCCTTCCCTTCCCTTCCCTTTCCTTTCCTTCCCTTCCCTTCCCTTCCCCTCCCTTCCCTTCCCTTCCCTTCCCTTCCCTTCCCTTCCCTTCCCTTCCCTTCCCTTCCCTTCCCTTCCCTTCCCTTCCCTTCCCTTCCCTTCCCTTCCCTTCCCTTCCCTTCCCTTCCCTTCCCTTCCCTTCCCTTCCCTTCCCTTCCCTTCCCTTCCCCCCTCCCTTCCCTTCCCTTCCCTTCCCCCGTCCCTTCCCCTCCCCTTCCCCTCCCTTCCCTTCCCTTCCCTTCCCTTCCCTTCCCTTCCCTTCCCTTCCCTTCCCTTCCCTTCCCTTCCCTTCCCTTCCCTTCCCTTCCCTTCCCTTCCCTTCCCTTCCCTTCCCTTCCCTTCCCTTCCCTTCCCTTCCCTTCCCTTCCCTTCCCTTCCCTTCCCTTCCCTTCCCTTCCCTCCCCTTTCCTTCCCTTCCCTTCCCTTCCCTTCCCTTCCCTTCCCTTCCCTTCCCTTCCCTTCCCTTCCCTTCCCTTCCCTTCCCTTCCCTTCCCTTCCCTTCCCTTCCCTTCCCTTCCCTTCCCTTCCCTTCCCTTCCCTTCCCTTCCCTTCCCTTCCCTTCCCTTCCCTTCCCTTCCCTTCCCTTCCCTTCCCTTCCCTTCCCTTCCCTTCCCTTCCCTTCCCTTCCCTTCCCTTCCCTTCCCTTTCCTTTCCTTCCCTTCCCCTCCCTTCCCTTCCCTTCCCCTCCCTTCCCTTCCCTTCCCTTCCCTTCCCTTCCCTTCCCTTCCCTTCCCTTCCCTTCCCTTCCCTTCCCTTCCCTTCCCTTCCCTTCCCTCCCCTCCTTCCCTTCCCTTCCCTTCCCTTCCCTTCCCTTCCCTTCCCTTCCCCCTTTCCCCTCCCTTCCCTTCCCTTCCCTTCCCTTCCCTTCCCCTCCCCTCCCTTCCCTTCCCTTCCCTTCCCTTCCCTTCCCTTCCCTTCCCTTCCCTTCCCTTCCCTTCCCCTCCCCCCCTTCCCCTCCCTTCCCTTCCCTTCCCTTCCCTTCCCTTCCCTTCCCTTCCCTTCCCTTCCCTTCCCTTCCCTTCCCTTTCCTTCCTTCCCCTCCCTTCCCTTCCCTTCCCTTCCCTTCCCTTCCCTTCCCTTCCCTTCCCCTCCCTCCCTTCCCTTCCCTTCCCTTCCCTTCCCTTCCCTTCCCTTCCCTTCCCTTCCCTTCCCTTCCCTTCCCTTCCCTTCCCTTCCCTTCCCTTCCCTTCCCTTCCCTTCCCTTCCCTTCCCTTCCCTTCCCTTCCCTTCCCTTCCCTTCCCTTCCCTTCCCTTCCCTTCCCTTCCCTTCCCTTCCCTTCCCTTCCCTTCCCTTCCCTTCCCTTCCCTTCCCTTCCCTTCCCTTCCCTGCCTCCCTGGTTACACAGCAGGCCTAAGGAGGAGCTGCAGCTGCTTCATTCGTAGCTTCCCCCTCTAACTCTACCGCATCATGGACCCGGCCCTGTCCATCCCTCCACCCTCCTCCCTTCCCATCCTGAACCCACCGCAGGCCCAAGGAGGAACAATCCCTGGCAGAATGGGTGGCCGCCTTCCTCGCTTCGCCCTCCCTGCTCCACCACATCATGGACCCTGCCCTCTCCGTTCCCCCTCTCCCTTTCCCCATCGCTGAACCCACCACAGACCCAAGGAAGAACAATCCCTGGCAGAGTGGGCATCCCCCTTCCTCGCTTCGCCCTCCCAGCTCTACCAAATCATGTACCCTGCCCTGTCCATTCTCCCTCCCCACTCCCACCCATTCTCACCCCCCTTCGTCCTTCCTAAACCCACTGCAGGCCTAAAGAGGAACAATCCCAGGCAGAGCAGGCAGCACCTTGTCTCGCTTCTCCCTCCAAGCTCAGCTCTATCGCATCATGGACCCGGCACAGCAGGCAGGCAGCACCCGGCTCTCTCCATCTGTCCCCCTTCCCCTCCCACTCCCCTTCTTTCCACCCTTATTCCACCCCAGGCTCAAGGAAGAGCAGTCACTGGCAGAGTGGGCGGCTCCCTTCCTCGCCTCCCCCTCCAAGCTCTACCACATCATGGACCCGGCCCTGTCCATTCCCCTGCCCCACCACCCTTCCCTTCTCTGCCCTTCTCCCTGAACCCACCCCAGGCCCAAGGAGGAGCAATCCCTGGCAGAGTGGGCGGCTCCCTTCCTCGCCTCCCCCTCCAAGCTCTATCGAATCATGGACCCGGCTCTCTCGGGCCGCTACAGCGTGAAGGGCGCTCAGACGGCGGCGGCTGTAGCAAGAGACTGCCTCACCCGCAAGGCCAAGCAGCGGCCACGCATGTCCGAGGTGGTAACCGCGTTACAGCCGGTGCTGGAGCTCTTTGATATGGCGGGATTTGATTCCTCCGGTGTTGGTGTGGGCGGTGGGCTAGGAGGAGGGGCAGGAGGGGGAGTAGGGGGAGTAGGAGGTATAGGGGGAGGGAGTGGAGCACAGGGAGCATTGCTGACAAGGTCTTCTAGTGAGAATAACACGAGTACGACCAAGGGAGGGAGTGCAAGCGGTGTAGGAGCAGGAGGGGGGTTGGGTAGTGGGAGGAGGTGGCAGAAGGTAGGGGCTGGTCAGGGCTCACTAGCTCAGAAGCAATTGTCGCTTAGGGAGGAGAGGAGGCAGCTGTCTATAAGGGAGGAGACACAGGACTGTTGAGGATGGTTGATGGGCCACTATTGACCATGTGTTGTCATTGTTTGTAACAAAAGGCTGTCTTTTATTTGATTAAGAGCTGTTGGTGTATGTAAAGGCAAAAGCAGCCTCTTGAAGCGATTGTGGGCACTAGTCAGGCTCTATGTTATCAGTATAAATTATCCTGAATTTCCTGAATTCAGTACAGGTCCAGTGTGTTTGTCTTGGAAAAACAGCATTATTGAATTTCTTGTGCTGAACATTCAGTATACGGTCGTGGTTATTCGGCGTACTGACGTTTCAGTATAACGGTGTAGGTTCATCCCGATGATTCAGGATTGTATCGAATCTCGCCCTGAAGCGAAATGTACTGCGCAAAAATTCTACTGGGTTTCGGGGCCTAGAGTATACCTACACGGTACTGAAGGGCTTCGCACCCACGGGGAGTGAGAGAGATTTGCTCCAAACCCATGTTTGGAGATTGGGTGTTGCACACGTGGCCTCCATTTGCTAGCGTGGTTCTACATTTGCACGATAATTGCTCGAGCCAACACATTACCCTATGAGGGCATTTATCCCTGAAACTCTTTTTTATCGCACGACTCTCATCCCGCGCCAGGGTATCGTACTATTTCCCACGTGAAAATTTCGTACGACAAAATTTCGCACGCTTAACCATTCTACAGTAATTGCGCGGTCATGTACTAGGCTGTAGTGGAGTGCTCCTTAGAGAGTACTTTTAGGTTTTCTCCTTGTTCTTCTCGACACTCATCATCTCATGCCACCATCCTTCTAAGACATGACCACTTAGTCTACTATTCTAACATGGTATCAGAGCAGGTCCCTCTTTAGGGCCTGCCGTTAGCCTTTCCTACTGCCCGTTTCTTCTGCCGAGGCGTACCGGATCGCGCCCTGCTGTCCGCTAGCGCGATCGCCCTGCCCTGCCCTTTCCACGCACGCACGTGCCCCGCTCGCGCCGCCCGCTCGCGCGCTGCCTGCGCCCTACGCGCGCTCGACCTGAGCGCTGCCCCTGCTGCCCGCTAGCTGCTCGAAACGGCCCGCGCGCGACCCGAACTGCCCGCGCCCTGCCTTCGCGCGGCCTGCTCTGCCCGAGTTCTGCCCGCACGGTCCACGCGCTGCCCTGCACGCGCTGTCTGCACCCTGCGCAGCCCTGCACGTGCCCTGCCTGTGCCCTCCGCAGCCCTGCCCGCGCCCTGCCACTTGCATGCTCCCTACCCGTGCCCTGCGCAGCCCTGCGCGCGCCCTGCCTCCGCCCTGCGCAGCCCTGCCCACGCCCTGCCACCTGCGCGCGCTCTGCCTTTACTGCAGCGGCTACTAAGCATCTGCTGCTGCCCGTGCCGTGCTGCTCTACCCTGCCTAAGACGCGCTGCCCTGCCGAGCCGCGCCGCCCTGCCCGAGCAGCGCCGCCCTGCCCGAGCCGCACCGCCTTGCCCAAGCTGCGCCGCCCTGCTGAGCCGCTCTACTTAACCGCCCAGCCGAAGCCTTTGTTGCCGCTCCTCCGACTGCTTCTGCCGCTACTGCTACTCCTCCTGCTACTGCCGCTATTGCCTACCATACCTACCATTACAGTACTGACATTCGACGTGGAGGGTCGCCCGATTAGGTTTGACACCTGGCTCGAAGATCTTCAGCTGTACCTGCAGAGCGAATCTAGGGATAATGTCTCACTTTTCGAGCATACGTCCGGGTCTATACCCGCTCCAGCGGGTTCAGCTGACCGTGCAGTTCATTCGCAGTGGCTTACGTGTGATGCTGCCGCTCGCCTTGCTGTTTGCAACCACCTCCCGCTAGATGAAAGGACCCACTTTGGCCAGCTTAAGACCGCCAAAGAACTCTATGACGCCGTTGTCGCTCGCTACTCCTCCCCCTCTACTGCTGCCCTAGGCCATCTCATGCTGCCGTATCTGTTTCCCGAGGTGTCAGACTTCCACACCGTAGCCAATCTCATCATCCACCTTCGCTCTAGTGACACTCGCTACCGCGCTGCTCTCAAGCCGACCTTTCTGGCTGCGAACCCGCCCCCTATGTACATCACCCTGTACTTCCTCGTCACTCGCCTCCCTGACTCTCTCCGTGCCGTTAGGGATCGATTCCTCGCCCTTGACCCCACCGAGCTCACTGTGGATTTGCTAGAGAAGCATCTCCTCGAGGCTGAGACTAGTGCCGTTGCTGTCGCTGCTTCTCGTGGCACTCCCCCCACTCCCTTCTTTGAGGGGTGTTCTCCCTCCCTTCTTGTGCCCTCTGTTGCATCTACTACTGCTGTTGACTTCCTTCGTGCTGAGGAGGTTGGTGCTGCATCTGCTCCTAGTGGGAGGCGCCGCAGCGGCAAGGGCAAGGGGGGCAAGGGTGGTGGTGGTGGCGTTGTTGGGGGTGGTGGCAGTGGTGGTGGCAGGGGTGGAGGCGGTGGTGGCGGCGGAGGAGGCGGCGGGGGTGGTGGAGGCGGTGGGGTGGGCGGAGGGGGCTTGGATGGCAGTCGGGGTGGAGCTGCTAAGGAAGGAGGCTCTGGGGCGACGCCAGGGGGTGCAGCTCGTGGAGCGGAGGCTCTTGGGGTGGAAAGCAGCAGCAGTCGCGCCAGCAGGAGACACTCACGCCCCAGCAGCTTTGTGAGTGGGTTGTTCAACATAGTGCTCGTTGCCCGTACGTCAGGCGCATGGGTCCCCGGGTTGGTGACCCCTGCGGGAAGATTGGACACACTGAGTCTCGTTGCTTCTTCCGTCTTGAACATGCCTGGTGCACCGAGTAGGGTGATAACATTGAGATCCCCAACTGGTTAGAATTACTCAAAATGGGGGTTGATGTCTTTGCTCTAGACTTTGATAAGATCAATGCTGCCATGTATGCTTTGTATGCTTTTTCTGCTAGTGTTGAGGGTAACTGTTACTTGTGTGTGCCTCCCGATCCTGGTATAGAAGCTGCTGCCTTAGGTGCTAATGAGTCTGCTGTCCCAGGTGCTGCTCTTGCTGAGGCCCTGCACACTTTCACACTTGACTCAGGCGCGTCACGCTGTTTCTTCCGAGACATCACCACAGTCACACCGCTCACTGCACCTGTCCTGGTCTCTCTGGCAGACCCCTCCGGGGGCCCAATCGTTGCACGTGCCTTCACTGTTCTCCCGTGTCCGGCGATCCCTTCTGGCTCACTTTCAGGTCTCCACCTCCCCTCTTTCTCTACGAACTTGGTGAGTAACGCTGTCCTCCAGGATGAGATGGTCACTACCACTACTCCTGGGGGTGAGCGTGTGGCGATCTGTACGTGTGCTCCGACCGGCCGCCACCTCGCCACGTTCACACGGAGGCCTGAGTCTGGCCTTTACACACTGACTACTGCATCCGCACAGGTGGCTGCGTCAAGTCAGGTGTCTGTGTCGCGTCAGCTAGCTGCATCTTACTCGTGTCGAGTTTTCACGCACCAGACTCTCCTCTGGCACCACCGTCTTGGTCACCCCTCCCTGCCACGTCTGTGTAGCATGCATTCCCGTCTCCTTGTCACTGGCCTCCCCAGGTCCCTGCTCCCGCTTCCGCGCTCGCCTGCACCGCCATGCCTTTCCTGCATCGAGGGGCGGCAGCGCCCCGCTCCTCACTCCTCCTCGTTTCCTCCGACAAAGGCTCCTCTGCAAACTCTCACATGGACGTGTGGGGCCCAGCCCGCATCAGTGGACCGGACCGCGAGTGCTACTTTCTGCTGGTGGTTGACGACAACACGCCCTACACTACGGTTTTCCCCTTGCAGAGCAAGGCGGATGTTCCTAGTGTCTTGATCCCCTGGATCCGCACTATCCGTCACCAGCTCCGCGAGCAGTTCTGGCAGGACCTTCCGGTCTTGCGTCTGCACTCTGACAGAGGTGGTGACTTCTCCTCCCGCTTCCTTGAGGCTTTTTGTCGTGGGGAAGGCATCGCCCAGTCGTTCACGCTTCCGGCCTCTCCGCAGCAGAATGGGATTGCTGAGCGCCGCATTGGCTTGGTCATGGAGGTTGCTCGCACCTCCATGATCCATGCGGCTACTCCCCATTTTCTGTGGCCGTTTGCGGTCCAATACGCCGCGCATCAGCTCAACCTCTGGCCCCGTGTCCCCGTACCAGAGACATCGCCTACACTGCGTTGGACGGGGGAGGTTGGCGATGCGTCAGCGTTTCGGATCTGGGGTTCGCATGCCCTTGTCCGCGATACCACCGTGGACAAGCTCTCTTCTCGCACCATTCGTTGCGTCTTCCTTGGCTTTCCAATTGACGCACCTGACTGGCAGTTTTACCACCCAGCCTTGCGTCACGTCCTGTCCTCTCAGGACCTCTCATTTTGCTTCTACAGTCTCTAACCCCACCGCACTATCCCCGTTCACCCCCCGCCTCTCTCTTCCTGGTTCCAGGTCCCCCCCCCCCCCCAAGTAGACCCCCTCCCCCCACAGGGTCTTGCTCCCTCAGATGTGACTCAAGTAGACCCACCCCCCTTGGTTGAGCCTTTGGAGGTCACCTCTGACACCTCTGGCCTAGATGAGGGGGGGGACGCTGCTGTTGACGACACAGCAGCCACTCGCCGCTCACCACGCTTGGAGACTCCTCCTGGTTTTCCACCTCGGCCGTCTTCGCCGCCTCTGCAGCCTGTTGCTGTAGACTCCGATGCTAGGAGGGTTGGTGACGTTGGGGGTGCGGACTCTAGGGGTGGTGGCGCTGGAGGTGCTGAGTCTGGGGGTTCTGGTTCTGGGGGTGCTGAGCGTCGTAGTGGTTGTGAAGTCGCTGGTGCTCTTGCTGGAGGTTCTGGAGGTGGACAGCAGCAGCAGTCTCGTCGACAGGAGTCTCTCTCGCCACAACAGCTTCGCTAGTGGGTTATTTGGCGGTTTCGCACTAATCGCGGAGCTGGAGGTTCTCGAGGCGCTGAGAATGGAGGTACTGGTGCTGGAGGTGCTGGGGGCGCTGGAGCTGTAGGTCCTGGAGCTGGCGCTGCTGGTACTGGAGGTACTGGAGGCACCGGAGCTTGAGGTACTGGAGGCACTGGACCTGTCGGTACTGG